CCCCCGGGCAGCACACAGAGCCATGCTGGGCTGCCTTGCGCTTCTGTGGGCCCTCCTCCTTCCTGGTAGGTCTTGAACTCCTTCCCTAGTTTGGGGTGCACAGGGAAGCTGTGAGGCTTTCGCCGGCCCTGCTTCACCGCTGTCTCCCTCGCAGGCAACCAGGCAGCGATCAGGCTGGAGCAGCCGGCCTCGGTGGTGGCGCGCCCCGGCAGCTCGGCCATCCTGCAGTGTGTGGCCAGCACCACGGTCAACTACATCCACTGGTACCGCCACCAGGAGGGCAAGAGCCCGGAAAGGCTCCTCAGACTGGCCATGTCCAAGTCGGATGTACAGTGGGATTCAGTCCTAAGAGCAGATAAAGTCACCGCGATGGAGGCCAAGGTGCCTCGGCTCCTGTGCAAAAACCACTCGGATTCCCCACTTCCTCCAGGCCTGGCAGCTTCCACCACCTCTGGATCCCTTGGGTTGCCCTGGGGTCATCCCTCAGCATCCAGGGCTCTCCTGGATGCCCCTCCCCTGGTCCCCTGCATATAATACTATGAGACTAAAGAACAGGTGGGGCATAGACTGGCGTGGAGACAGGAGCTACTACTAATCAGAAGGGACCTTTTGAAGATCATCCAACTCTGCGTTTCTGAAGCATTTGGAGAAGAATCTGTGTTGCTCAATCCAGTAGCTACTAGTCACATGTGGCTAATTGAGCACTTGAAATGTAGGTGGTTCCATAGACCAAGATGAGAAGGGCTGCATGTGTAATATAAACCATATTTTGAAGACTTAGCATGAAAAAAGTGAAATATATAACAATATTTTTATTGATTTGCATGTTGAAATAATATTTTGAATATCTTGGGCTAAGTAAAAATAGTGCTAAAATAATTTCGCTTGTTTCTTTTTGCTTTCCTTTAATGCAGCAGCTAGAAAATTTTTAATTTGTGGCTCGAATTGGTAACTCACATTTATTTCTATTGGATAGCACTGTTATAGACTGACAACTGAAGAATCTGCCCATCTCCCCTGAGGAAGGGACAAATAAAATATTTTGCAAATAATTTCAAGGGTAAAGGACTCTCTGGAGATTTACCACAAAGTGGTTGAAAGCAATT